TCTAATTGCCTTCTATGATGAGGTAACTGGTTCTGTGGATGAAGGGAAAGCAGTGGTCGTGTTATTCCTCAACTTTAGCAAAGCTTTTGACACGGTCTCCCACAGTATTCTTGTCAGCAAGTTAAAGAAGTATGGGCTGGATGGATGCACAACAAGGTGGGTAGAAAGTTGGCTAGATTGTCGGGCTCAACGGGTAGTGATCAATGGCTCCATGTCTAGTTGGCAGCCGGTATCTAGCGGAGTGCCTCAAGGGTCGGTCCTGGGGCCGGTTTTGTTCAATATCTTCATTAATGATCTGGAGGATGGTGTGGATTGCACCCTCAGCAAGTTTGCAGATGACACTAAACTGGGAGGAGTGGTAGATACGCTGGACGGTAGGGATAGGATACAGAGGGACCTAGACAAATTGGAGGATTGGGCCAAAAGAAATCTGATGAGGTTCAACAAGGACAAGTGCAGAGTCCTGCTCTTAGGATGGAAGAATCCAATGCACCGCTACAGACTAGGGACCGAATGGCTAGGCAGCAGTTCTGCAGAGAAGGACCTAGGGGTGACAGTGGACGAGAAGCTGGATTAGTCAACAGTGTGCCCTTGTTGCCAAGAAGGCCAATGGCATTTTGGGATGTATAAGTAGGGGCATTGCCAGCAGATCGAGGGACGTGATCATTCCCCTCTAGTCGACATTGGTGAGGCCTCATCTGGAGTACTGTGTCCAGTTTTGGGCCCCACACTACAAGAAGGATGTGGATAAATTGGAGAGAGTCCAGCGAACGGCAACAAAAATGATTAGGGGACTGGAACACATGAGTTATGAGGAGAGGCTGAGGGAACTGGTATTGTTTAGTCTACGGAAGAGAAGAATGAGGGGGGATTTGATAGCTGCTTTTAACTACCTGAAAGGTGGATCCAAAGAGGATGGATCTAGACTATCCTCAGTGATAGCAGATGACAGGACAAGGAGTAATGGTCTCAAGTTGCAGTGGGGGAGGTTTAGGTTGGATATTAGGAAAAACTTTTTCAGTTGGAGAGTGGTGAAACACTGGAATGCGTTACCTAGGGAGGTGGTGGAATCTTCTTCCTTAGAAGTTTTTAAGGTCAGGCTTGACAAAGCCCTGGCTGGGATGATTTAGTTGGGATTGGTCCTGCTCTGGGCAGGGGGTTGGACTAGATGGCCTCCAGAGGTCCCTTCCAACTCTGTTATTCTATGAGGGTAATGAATGACTATATATGGTAATTTGTTTCAAGACTGAGTCTGATAAGTTTATGGAGGGGATGGTATGCTGACATTGTCACAATGGCCCATCCACTACTAGAAACAAATATTTCTAAGGGCTGGCGATGGGAAACTAGATGGAGAGGGCTCTGAGTTATTACCGAGAATTTTTTCCCAGGTGTCTAAGCTGTTGGACTGAGCCCACATGCTCAGGGTCTAAGGACTGCCATATTTGGGGTTGGGAAGGAATCTTCCTGGGTTTTTTTTGGCCTTCCCCTGCACCACAGGGCACAGGTCACTTGCTGGTTTGAACTACAGTAAATGGTGGATTCTCTGTAATTTGAAGTCTTTAAATCAAGATTTGAGGCAGAGGTTATGGGCCTATTACAGGAGTGGGTGGGTGAATGTTCTGTGGCCTGCAATGTGCAGGAGGTCAGATTAAATGATCATGATGGTCCCTTCTGGCCTTAACGTCTATGAGTCTTTGTGCATCCCGGACTCCTGGGGAGTCCACATGTCTTGCACTGTATGTTCATCCAGGCAGGCACCCCATCTTAACAAGGAGGCATCTGTGATAATTGGTGGAGGAGTAAAGGGGACTCCCCCACACACTTCATCCCTATCCTCCCACCAAGCTAGAGAAGCTAGCTGTGTGGGAGTGAGACAAGCTTATCCATACCTTGTTTGTCTGCCTGCTACGTATACTAATCGAATCCAAGCCTGTCAGGCAATGGAGACAAGTCTCATGAAGGGGATCACATATGTACAGGACACCATGTGATCTAAAAGGATGATACATGAATGAACTGATGTCTGCGGGATCAGCCAGAGCTGACTGACAAGTTCCTCTATGGACTGGAATCTGTCCTTTGGCAGGTACACTTTGGTCCTGACAGAGTCCAGAGTCACTCTGATAAATTCTATAGTTTGTGCTGGAACTAAAATGGAGACTTTTCTATGTTTACGCAGAGTCCCAGTGATAGAAGACTGAGCAGGAAAGTGGTTGCTGTCAATACCTCCTGCTGAGATTTCCCACATAAGTAGTGAGATGTCGAGGTAGGGAAAAACTGGTATCTGAAGTAGGCTGCCACTACTGGGTGTATTTTTGTGAATACCCTTGTGCTGTAGCAAGGCCAAATGGGAGCACCTTATATTGATAATGGTTCAGGCCCACCGCAAACCTTAGAAACCTTATGTGTGGGGTGGATGTCTATATGGAAGTAGGCATATTGAGAGCTGCAAACCAGCAGCCTTTATTTCACTGGGGACAGGTTGACCATCCTTAAATTTGATTTGTGGATGAAGACATTTAGTTTTGAGGGTTCCAAGATGGGTCTCAATCCTTCCTTTTTCTTGGGGATGAGGAAATACTTTGGAGTAAAACCCTTTCCATAGATGTGGGGTAGGTATGCATTCCATAGCCCCCTGTCAAAGGAGAGTGCCCACTTCTTGAATGAGTATCCTCTAATGACAGTGGTCCCTGAAGAGAGATGGATAAGCAGCTTTTGGAGCAGATAGGGGGAGAAATTCTATAGTATAGCTTGCATGGATGATGTTAAGCACCCATCTGTCTGTTATCTGCCAACAGATCTGTTAACAAATTACCTGTTTTCTCACTAAACAGATTGTTCCTTTCAAAAGGCAAATCTTCCACTGTAGATTGGATTTCTTTGGGGAATCCAGAGGAGCAAAGCCACCATGCTCGATGCATGACAACAGCTGTCGCCATAGACAGCGAGGCCATGTCTCATGCATTGAATGCAGCTTGGAGGGATGACCTAGTGATCAATTTTCCTTCCTCAATGAAAACTTGAAACTGAGTTCTATCTTCCTGTGGAAGTTTGTAAATTCTGCAATCACGGAACAGTTAACAAAGTTGTATTTGGAGATCAATGCATGGCAGTTGGCTACACGGAATTGCAGGCTGGTTGAAATGAAGACTAAGCAAGTCTAAACGTTTAGCGTCCTTGTCAGATGGAGTGGATTGGGTTTGATGTTGTTTGCTCTTCTCCAAGGCAGCCTGGATGACTGATGAGTTTGGGACAGGGTGTGTAAATAAATATTCTGCTCCCTTGGTTACATAGTATTTCTTCTCTGTCCTCTTTAGAGTGGGAACACATATTGCTGGTTTATTCCAGACAACAGTAGCAGGCTCCAGGCTAGGCCCCATAGCTCTGTAAGATGTCTAAAAGTTTGTGAAGTCTTCTATACTGTCTCTCTACTGAGATTTGGAGTGTCTCTGCAAACCTCCTTAATAGATTCTAAAATTGCCTGTGATCTCCAGATGGAGAAGATGAGGCCAGCACAATTGCCTCATCTGGGGAAGATGATGACGTTCTTGTTGGAGCCAGTGGTTCCATCGGTTCCAGTTGCTCTTCCCTCTTCTATCAGTTTCTGAGGAAGTTCAGGTTCCTCTCTGTGAGGGGAGGGATGGCGTGATTTCTGATGGGAACATACAGATTCTGGGTAATGCACATATAGATCCCATTGTCCCCAGTAGGGCCAGTGAGATGAGTCGAATGTTTGTTGGGATAGCATAGGGTACCACCAGTTCTGAGTTGGGGACCCTGATTTATGAGAGCAGAAGAGCAAGAGTCTGGATCCTCTATCTGGGCTAACCTCCTGCCTTTTGGGGGGGGGAGGGGAGGGATGGACTCCCTCACATTGTCATCTGATTTGCCAGAAGAGGCAAAAGTAAGTTCCAGTGCAGACGGTACCATGGATCTTGGGATCCGCCTGCTGGTAGAAGGCATGAGAGAGTGGATTTCTCTCTCATGCCAATCCTGGACCAATGGTGTCAAGATCTCTCTTGAAAGGACTGGGTACAACAAGATGGGGGGGCGGTCTCTGGATCTGGGTGGGCAACAATGTCCTCACAGGCTGTATATTTATCTGCTGACTGAGGAGATGTCGTGTCTGCCTGGACCAGTGGAGTCAGTCTGGTGAGAAGTTTAACCATCAGTGAAGGGGGTACTTTGTGTTTATCCATCAACAGTGTTTTTCCGAGGATGGCCCCACTGCTGCTGTGGCAGGTGCTGGTCTGGAGGCACTTTTATTCTTTGGAACTCAGGGGTCAATACCATGTCCCTTTTGAGCACCTGAACTTCCTGTAATGGGGATCACTCAACTTGCATAGTGCAGGGGAAGAAGTTTTCCTCTTAGAAGAGGATCTGCAAGGGGCTCTCTTTCCTTTGAAGAGTGTGCTTTTCACTCTCTTGTCCATGCAAGGAAGAGGAGTACTGGTTTCTATTCTTTTCAGTCCATGAGTCCAAGGTCCCTGTGCTAGGAACCATGCCTCTTGGCACCTCTGACCACTGTACAGGTGGCTCTGCCCAGCCTGGGTCAGATTGGGGCCTCATGGACCAATCTGTTGACTAATGTATACTGTTGTTTGTGTATATATATTTATAGTTAATAATATGTATTATTTGCATCATATGTTTATATATTTAGGCTATATAACTGCTATAATACTTAGTATGTATTAAGTATAAATATTATAGCAATTATATATCCTAAATTGGCCTGTTCCTTTTCTATAATCCTGTTCTCTTATGCTAAGTATCCAATAAACCAAAATTTACTTCAGCAAATGCAAAGAGTTAAGTAAATAGGGAAACTGTCAGGATTAGGACAGATCATTGTTTTACCATAACAGGTAGGGAGTTATTCTCACAGACCAGTATCTGGTATGTCTCAAAGGAAAAAGAGTACTAACTACTTTAATTATCAGAACTAAGAACTGGCTTGGTATTTAAAACTAACAATATATTTAAAATATTTACAGAAAGAGCGGAAGAGAGACACTCCATGAACACTGAGGAAGTTCCATCTCAGACTACACAGTGGTAGAAAGGAACTACAGGGGTGGTTAGTCTGCACCACACCTTATGCCCTCAGTTTGAAGCATGAGGAGAGGAAGGGCACAGGCACGGACCAACAGACACTGCTAGCAAAAATCTTCCTGTCTCAGAAGCATAGCGCGCATGCATGCCCACAGTGGAATACAGGTATGAACCAGCATTCAAAGAAGAATTTCAAGTTTTCTTACAGGGTAATGCAAACAATGGAGCAGTTGACAGGTTTCATTTAGATGAATTTGTATGACTTTGAAACACAAATGTAGCATTTTAAGTTGTGTCTTACTAGTATCAAATCACTGGCTGCTGAGAGGGGCCCTTACGTATAAAATTCCAGTGTTTCCATTTTATTTTCTATCAGGACTAGCACAAATGATATAAATTAAACAAGTTGTGATAAAGTTTTAGGGTCCAGACCTACAACTGGCTCATCATGGGTGGACTTTTGTACTCCCAAGGAGCCCCGCTGGCCTCAATGGGGCTCATGTGGGTAAGCATCTACCTGCCTGGATCCACTTGAAAAACAGGGGCATTAATATGCTGGACGGGGAATTAGTCATACACCTTCAACTATAACAGCAATACAAGCTGTTCACCTAACTGATCTCTCCACCAATGAAGGGAAAGCTCATCCAGCCAAGCAGCTGTGATGTCATGCTTTCCCCTGGGCAGTGCAAGGTTGCTGAAGTTGTCTTACAACTCAGTTTACACTCCGTGTATCCATTCAGGGTTTTAATAAGAAATAGTTTTAGACTTGAATAAAAGGATATTTCTTTTGGTAGGGGTTTTCAAATGATTACAATATATGTCTTTTAACCAAGTGTTGGGGGTGGTGAGAAGAACACAGTAAACAAAAGTAAGGGGGATAGGAAGGGCTAAAGAAAGAAGTAAGAAAAAGAAAAATAAGCTGCGTCTGAGACTGGACCAGAAATGGAGAGCAAGGAAGCAGAGGACCCTGCTCTGGTGAATCTTGTTCCAGGAAGACGCAGATCCACTGAGCCAGGATTTACTTTCCTTCACTATAGTGCCCCTCTGTCCCACATCTAGCTTGGTATGGTGGAGAGATTAGTACTGCTCCAAGAATATATAGTCCCCTCATTCCCCGTTAACCAAATACTATATTGGGAGAGTTTACTTTTCCATAAGAGCTGACAGAATTTGTTTTTGTTTTTTAGACAAGCAATAAATAATCCAGTGCTTTTCCAATTATAATGGAATTGAAAATTACCCTGGTAATCTTTACTAGACCTAGAAATTACAAAAAGCAGCCTAAAACAAGTCAAGTTCACTTTCCAGTCAAATAAAACCTCCATATATGAAGTTTTCATCTAAAGATATTAGGTACTGTAGAAACAGTAGCAAGTGAACTAGTTTTGTTTTAAAATTAATTTTGTTATCTTAAATCAACCAAGAAACTAAAATACTCACAGATTTCTGGGCGGCTATTAGCTGGAATCTGGCTTACTCCACACAGGGCTTTCCAAAAAAATATACCACTAGAATTCTGAGATCCTTTTTAAAGGCTTATTTGATTGAATCAACTACTAACACAGCTGACCTGAGGTTTTAATCCCAATCCATAGCACCAAATCACATAAACCCAAAGAAAGCAAAAAAGCAAAACGTTTTTAAAAGAAAATATTGCCACAGAAAGATTTTCACCATACCCAGGAAAAGCATCTCTCACACAAGCCTATTGTTATTCTTCACCACAAAATGCTCATTAATAGTACGTCAAGAATATTTTTAACCTGTGGTAAATTTCCTGAGTCCATCATAAGAGATTTTCATTCCCAGGAGAAATTTTATATTCAATAAGAAAGGCCAACAGGTTAAAAATATTGAAGATAAATCAAATAATCAGTTTAACAGATGAAAATTCTGTTGAAAAGAAAGCAAAAGCTGCTATGCAGTGCTAGAAAGAGCCCAAATCAGTCATGCACCAGCCCACATTTCTCCCCACCTCAGGCAGCTGGTTGCTAGAGTTATCTAGAGGCGAAGCCTCCAAACTTGGGGTCTCAGCTCTTATTTGAAGCACCTCTTCTGTTCCCACACTGCTAGTGGAGTCTTGAGACTGCAATAATGAACTTGCACGATCTGATATTGTTTCATCTATGGCAGAATCACTGTTTAACTAAGAGAGAAAAAAAACAAATGTGAAATATTTCAGTGGTTGACTGGAACCGTATAAGCTAAAGACCACAAGAAATTAATTGAAGTTTGTTTGAAAATAGTTTGCTTCAACCAAATAAGTATTATTGTTTATCTGCACATCACAAAAAAAAACCCATATATTAATAAAGTACTCTACATCGCCACTCAAACCATTATGTGCATGTCTCCAACATTTAACTTTCCTTCAAAGGGAGTTTAAAGGTCATTTTTGGTACACAGAAAATGTTCTCTATTTTGTTAATAAAGATTTTTTTGTGCTTCTGAAAGATGCTAGATTGAAATTCTTTGGCATGGGCAGTGATAGTGCAAGGTTTTGCATAAATGTGCCTCACCTATGACTACCTCCAAGGATTTGTTTCTTTTTTGAGTCTATAATTTCTAATTTCCATTTTTGTACGGTAACAAGGTGTCTTTATTTCCTCTTTTTGAATAGGTGTCCTAAAAGGAGGAAGATAATTAAGGAGGATGGTAGTAGAGAAGATTTTTTCCAGCCAATGTCACTGTAACACCAAAGTGATGTAAAGAGTAGGTTCCCTCTCTCTTCCCAACCAGCATTACTGCTTTTGAGGCAGTTCAACTAGCTAGACACAGACTGCTAATACAATTCTAATAGTTACACTAAGAGCAATTTTTGCAGCAATCCAAATTATCTGAATTTTATTAATATAAAGTTGGATTTGGTTTCATTGGTGATACTAATATAAGGGCATCACATATTCCAGAATCTTTATTAAAGGGTCAAGTTATTTGACAAGTATAATTCGTATTGAATTTCTTGGCCAAATTTGTTCCCCACTATATGGTCTAAATATATTTCATATACCTCTTATATATCCTTCAGATATATCACTTCATCTGTGTCAAACAGAAAGGTCACAGGAACTCTGGCAACACCATAGGACCTAGAATATACTATGCATACCGTGGTTATGCCTACAATTAAACACCCATGGCTGGACTGTGTCAGCTAACTTGGGTTGTGTGGCTCAGGTTGTGAGGCTGTAAAATTGTGGTGTACACATTTGGGCTCAGGCTGGCGCCGCGGCGCTAGGTCCCAGGTCCCAGTCAGGTCCCAGATCTCAGGCTCCAGCGCATGCCTGAATGTCTACACCACAATTTTATAGCCCTGCAGCCTGAACCATCTGACACGAGCCAGCTGACACAAGCCACCTGCAGGTGTTTAAGTGCAGTGTAGACATACTCTATATGAAGAATATAGGGTAATATACTGTTTTAAAATAAAAGTTTTAATTTTTCCTGGTATCTGAAGAACACATAATCATATTAGAAAAATATTGACATTATCTCCTAAATTCTTTTCATTATCTAAGCTTTTATTATCTAAGTTTCTTGTGAAACAGAAATTTTCTGAAGATCAAAACAACCAAAAATTTTTCTTTTACCTCAGCTATAGTGATGATAGAGTCTTCCTATTGACATAATGACGCCAAAAAAAGCTAATTTAAATGGGGTGCTAATCAGGATAATTTAAATAGTTCTTTGCTACCTATGAATAGCTATGTTTGATTTCTGGCTCTCTTTACAGCTTTTTTTAAAAAAAAATATAGTTGATGGTAAAGTGATTATTTCTGTGCTATCATTTTATGTATACATGATCAATTTAGTGGGGTTTTTTTTATTTGGGATGGGGTAGAGTAGACAATTTCTTGTAATAATGAGAAATCTTGTAATACTTAAATGTTTACTTGGATTAAAATTATTGTAATTTTATTAAAAGAATAAATAAAAATAAAAAGTTGTTTTGATTCCACATCCACTCAATCCTTTGTTTCTCTGCTAAGGATGAAAATTTAGTGCCAATTATGATTGTGGTTTTTGTGATGTGGATACCTGTTCCCAGAACTGTACCAAGACCTTGGAATTTGCACTACCGAACAAGAGAGAGAAGGCTTTATATCCCATTACAAAGTCCCTAAGTTATCCTATCTCCAAAGGTATAGTTTATATCTTAACCTATTTTCAAAATTTAAAAATGGAAGATGATCTTAGGTGGTATATCAACACCTAACTGTAAGGGAAGAAGACCATAACAGGAAGATCATTCTTTTCCTACAAGAAAAACTACTACTGACAACCAATATTTGTTTTCACATTACAAAATCATCTAAAATATCATCACAGATTTCTCTAGTATGAATATTTAGACCTGCAAATAGCTGCACTGGAGAAAATTTAATTTAATCCTGTGATAATTTATACAAATGAGACATAAATAGGAAGTAGTATTGCATTAGTCTATTTTATATAGTACCTAATGAATGAGAATGGAACAGATTAGCAATTTTAAAGGTGGAACACTAATAGAAGTCCCATAAGATCTGTGGCTGTTATTTATTTTTGCACTTCAATTATTTCAGCTTGCAAATGAGGAATCCAAGCTTTCTTTTGTCAAAAACTACAAAAACATAGATTTCAGAGTAACAGCCATGTTAGTCTGTATTCGCAAAAAGAAAAGGAGTACTTGTGGCACCTTAGAGACTAACCAATTTATTTGAGCATAAGCTTTCGTGGGCTAGAACCTACTTCATCAGATGCATGGAGTGGAAAATACAGGAGCAGGTATAAATGCATGAAAAGATGGGAGTTGCCTTATCAAATGTGAGGTCAGTCTAATGAGACAATTCAATTAACAGTAGGATACCAAGGCAGGAAAAATAACTTTTGTAGTGGTAATGAGAGTGGCCCATTTCAAACAGTTGACAAGAAGGTGTGAGTAACAATAGGGAGAAATCAGATCAGCGGCACTGCTATGGGTACCTGCATGGCCCCACAGTATGCCAACATTTTTATGGCTGATTTAGAACAACGCTTCCTCAGCTCTCGTCCCCTAAAGCCCCTAGTCTACTTGCGCTATATTGATGACATCTTCATCATCTGGACCCATGGAAAACAAGCCCTTGAGGAATTCCACCATGATTTCAACAATTTCCATCCCACCATCAACCTCAGCCTGGTCCAGTCCACACAAAAGATCCACTTCCTGGACACTACAGTGCTAATAAACAATGGTCACATAAACACCACCCTATACCGGAAACCTACTGACCGCTATTCCTACCTACATGCCTCCAGCTTTCACCCTGACCACACCACACGATCCATCGTCTACAGCCAAGCTCTGCGATACAACCGCATTTGCTCCAACCCCTCAGACAGAGACAAACACCTACATCTGTCAAGCTTTCTTACAATTACAATACCCACCTGCGGAAGTGAAGAAACAGACTGATAGAGCCAGAAGAGTTCCCAGAAGTCACCTACTACAGGACAGGCCTAACAAAGAAAATAACAGAACGCCACTAGCCGTCACCTTCAGCCCCCAACTAAAACCCCTCCAACGCATTATTAAGGATCTACAACCTATCCTGAAGGATGACCCAACACTCTCACAAATCTTGGGAGACAGGCCAGTCCTTGCCTACAGACAGCCCCCCAACCTGAAGCAAATACTCACCAACAACCACATACCACACAACAGAACCACTAACCCAGGAACCTATCCTTGCAACAAAGCCCGTTGCCAACTGTGCCCACATATCTATTCAGGGGACACCATCACAGGGCCTAATAACATCAGCCACACTATCAGAGGCTCGTTCACCTGCACATCCACCAATGGGATATATGCCATCATGTGCCAGCAATGCCCCTCTGCCATGTACATTGGTCAAACTGGACAGTCTCTACGTAAAAGAATAAATGGACACAAATCAGATGTCAAGAATTATAACATTCATAAACCAGTCGGAGGACACTTCAATCTCTCTGGTCACGCAATCACAGACATGAAGGTCGCTATCTTACAACAAAAAAACTTCAAATCCAGACTCCAGCGAGAAACTGCTGAATTGGAATTCATTTGCAAATTGGATACTATTAATTTAGGCTTAAATAGAGACTGGGAGTGGCTAAGTCATTATGCAAGGCTTCCATTCTTTGTTTCCTAGGAAGGATTCTCTATGCACTCAGTGATCCCTCATTCCCATTCCTTTTAGCTGAAGACTTTCTAGGACTCATGTTCAAGCCCATCAACGGTACTCCTTAGACAGCTGGATGCCAGAAGTCACCTAATACAGGACAGGCCGAACAAATAAAGTAACAGAACGCCACTAGCCGTCACCTACAGCCCCCAACTAAAACCTCTCCAGGCATCATCAGGAATCTACAACCTATGCTGAAGGATGATCCCTCACTCACAGACCTTGGGAGACAGGCCAGTCCTCACTCACAGACAGCCCCCCAACTTGAAGCAAATACTCACAGGCAACTACACACCACACAACAAAAACACCAACCCAGAAACCAAACTTCGCAACAAACCCCAGTGCCAACTCTGTCCACATATCTATTCAAGGGACACCACATCAGCCGACACCATCAGGGGCTTGTTCACCTGCACGTCTATCAATGTGATATATGCCATCATGTGCCAGCAATGCCCCTCTGCCATGTACATTGGCCAAAATGGACAGTTTCTACGAAAAAGAATAAATGGACAAATCTGACATCAGGATTGATAACATTCAAAAACCATTAGGAGAACACATCATTTTCCCTAGTCACTCAATAACAGACCTAAAAATGGCAATTCGTCAACAAAAAAAACTTCAAAAACAGACTCCAACGTGAAACTGCAGAATTGGAATTAATTTGCAAACTGGACACCATCACATTAGGCCTGAACAAAGACTGGGAGTGGTTGGGTCATTACAAAACCTAAACCTAATTTCTCCCTATTGTTACTCACACCTTCTTGTCAACTGTTTGAAATGGGCCACTCTCATTACCACTACAAAAGTTATTTTTCCTGCCTTGGTATCCTACTGTTAATTGAATTGTCTCATTAGACTGACCTCACATTTGATAAGGCAACTCCCATCTTTTCATGCATTTATACCTGCTCCTGTATTTTCCACTCCATGCATCTGATGAAGTAGGTTCTAGCCCACGAAAGCTTATGCTCAAATAAATTGGTTAGTCTCTAAGGTGCCACAAGTACTCCTTTTCTTTTTGCGAAAAACATAGATCTTATATTTAAACAAGAATAATCTTTATAATGTTTTTTAAAAATTGTACTACATATTGAATGAGCATTGATGGAAGAAAGAACACTCCACTGGAACCTCAACAGTAATGTATCTACTGCTGATAGAAGAGCTCTTTTGCTGAGTTGAGATTGTGAACTCACTTCATAGGCTTCAGAAATGCCTCCCCAAAAGCTGAACTGCACTAGTGCAGCTGCATCCAAGGCTTTCTGCGACTATGGGTGGAAGGTTTGAGCAGTATTTGCCTCTAAAAGATGCAGGTGAAGATTTAAGTTTGCAGCTGTCAGTTTTTATAACAATGGCACGAAAAATGTTCTCTGAAGAGATCCGTTGATAGACTCATTTAACTAAAGCTTAAATAAACTTGGGTTATAAACTGATTCTTTTCACAGAAGAATGACTTACCATCTGTGATCGGGATAATATCTGACTTGCAGTCAGGGCTGCTTCCTCTTCTGAGGACTCATCAGTATCCTCCTGATTGGTCAAGTTCAAGCTGGGTGTGCTACCAGAATACTGACATTCTTGAAGGGATGGTGTGTCTCCCTTGTCAATACTGTCGAGTGAACGCCTACGGACTCCCCAGTTGAAGTTGTCCATACTTTCACCCTGTAAAAAAAAATAAAATCAAAAGGAAGTTTATGCTAAATATCTCAAATATATAATAATGAAATGATCACACCAAGACAACACAGAAGACACAGGAATACTGAATGCACTGTGAACAGAGTTTCAATCAGCCCTTCAATTTTATTGTAATTTTAAATATATTAAGTGATGTTTTTACTTTAAAAGATTAAGATATATGGCAAATGATCTGCAATTCGCATAAAATGAAGTACGATTCTCAAATTTCTCTCGGATATCTTGTATTGGGGTCTCACTAAATATGTTGTCTACAATCACATCTGTACCAATATTACATGTATCTGACTACAAAGCACAGACTAACACACCACAGACAACAACAGATTAAACAAGCCACTGCACCAGGCTGCAACTTACCTGCAGCTCCTGGTTAGCAAAAAGGAAAACACACATAATTAGAAAGAACGAGGACAAACACTTAAGATACACTATAACCAGGGGAAAAGGTTCTATTATGTATGATTTGCCAACTGTAGAAGACTGATTCAAGCTCTGGAAAAAGCTTTAGTCAAAAAAGCTAAAAAAATTTTAACTTCTCTTTTCATGTAAAATTGGTTATGAGACAAAACACTTAAAACAACATGTCTATGGTACATTTTCCTTGGTGTAACATGTAAAACAACTGTTTAAACAAGCAGTGAATGAAATCCTTGAACTTCAACACAGATGGAATCTTAAATTGACTTTAACTGTCCACATTCAGTTGACAAAACATATGAAGTCATAATTATACTCATATTGGAGGAAAACTTTGACATATTTTTAACTAGACATTCTGAAAGATATTAAGTACTTTTCAACATCAATATTTACGAAGAGGACCCTAAACACAAACGTATGGATCCTCCCTTTTCTCATTTTCCAATTGAGATATGAAGGATGGTGTGTGGTTTTGAGTGAAATCTATATTTTAATCACCGTTTTTCCATTCTAAGTGGACAGGTAAGATCTTTGGCTTCTTCTGGGGACTTTATCAATCCTTCAATGATATAGCCAATAAGATTCCTTAAGAATGGTTCTCTCAACCAGCCCACAGGTCTAGTCTCCTCAAACTTGACAATACCAATTCCAAAGTTACTCCAGCAACTGGTTGTCTCTCATGGAGATTCAAAATGTTATCAGTATGCAAGCATGCATATTTTCCAACTTTTTCTCAGTGACTTTGTTTGCTCCAGAGAAGCGGACAGAGTATTTGCATGCAAACGTAAATGAAGAGCT